CGTTTCAAACCCTGTCTGGGGCAACACACAAAGTTTCAATATATAAATTGCATTTAGGATTCAGTACAAAGCTTTAAGCTTATAATAAACTCTCTCGCCGTTGTTTCCCTGAGTAAGAGACTTTACATTAATTGCTCAGTACTGGTTGGTTCCAGGAACGGATTCGACAGTGTTTCAATAACCCTTTAGCTTACAACAAAAATCTAAAAAAATGTATATACTAAAAGTCAGCTTTCATGTTTTGATAATTTCGTCATTAAATTGTAAATTATTAAAAAGCAAGCATAATATTTTCAATAGAAATAAATCATTTTTCTTTTCGCAGCACGTTTTCTTTTTCTAATTTAAATCTACAATGTACTTTTACAATTCCAATTATAACTGGAAAAATTGAACGTGTTTGTAACAATGGAGAATATCGCATACAATAATTACGGATAATTCAAATTCCAGACAAGGACCAGTTCATTTGTACAAATCAGGTAAATACGGGTCAATAACAAGCTATAGATAACACCTTTTGCAATAACAATGGATTGTTCAAACACATCTTTAGCTGTAACACTGTCTTGTCCATGTTCTATAATTATTGACTTGTATATGGCCAAAGGTATATTTATGCTAAATAAGGATTGATTGATTAATTGGATTGATTGATTGATTGATTCATTGATTGATTGATTGATTGATATACATTTTCAGGAAACTCGGGCAAACGATTTATTTTCGATGACGTTTACAATGCTTGGAACAAATTACCTAGTCAAATAAAAGCCGTATTACCCGGTAAGTAGAACGGTGATTCCAATAAAGGTTTGTCAATGATGAATTAAATATTACTTTGTATTGAAACAAACTGTCAGAGCATTTTATATTTATTCTTTTTATGTTAAGTTATTTCTTACATATTTATGAATTAGACATTTGGATATATTATTGAAATAAAATACGTATTTTCAATATCCGTATTTTCAAATTTATTTTTCACTGCAGTGAACCATATTTTTTTCGTATTTCTACTGATGTCTAGTCGGACTACTTTCTTCTTTAACAAAATTAAAGAATTAAGTAAAAAAAAAAAAAAGAGAAAGAAGTGGGAACGTATATAATAATAAACAGATAATCTTGTGATGTGAAAAATTGTATCCTTAAAAAGAATAAATAAAAAAATAAATAAATAAAATAAATAAAAAAAATAATAGTAATAAAAGTTATATATAAATCTTTTGATATGATCATAAATTATATACTTTTTAAATTTTAATTTTCATCACCATTTTTTCAATTTCAGTTAATACTGAAGTAAACGCCAATTGTAGATTTGGTAAGTCTTGCATTTTGATATTTTATTCGATTGAACAACACTTAACAGATAATTATTTAAACTTAACCTTTGTCCTTTTGGGTTGTGGGTGGAGTCTCTTTCCCATTTTCGATTGCTGAGTATTCTAAAAAATTTTAATTATTTTAAAGGCTCCTGAATCTTTTTCAATGAAAGCCGCTTTTTAGTAATGGGAGAGTTGGGATTGTGATTCGGCGACGCGGGTTCGATTCCAGGACGGTGCAGATCACTTCGTTTTAATTGATCGTTAACTGTTTTCTCTGTCATTCACACCCTGTACCTCTGCTCTGGCATGTACAAAAAGTAATCACTTACTTGTGAAAGTGAAGGCAACTAAACTGTTGACAGTATGCGTAGGAACGATGCGGTGGCTGAAAGAAAAATGCCAACACCACCGTATTCTAACATAAGTAAAGACAGAGCACGGGCTTACCTTTTGGGAAAAACGTTAATTCTATAGGCGATAAAGAATGACGATGTATCGCAATAGGAAATGTGAGAAATATCATTTATAATGTTGTTTTTTATCACATTTCAGATTTACTTAAGATGACAGACACCCAAAGACGTAAGTTCATTATTTTACATTGAAAGCTAGTGAGTGTTTAAAGCTAGGAACTTAATATTATCAAGTCTAAAATATTTTGTTAGCGACGTGAGTTATGAAAAATAAATAGCAGCTAAGAAAATGCGTCATACTTCGCCGATTAATAAAAGTCATCTTGGAATTAATGCGGATTGAAAGAAGTCCGACTAAATGACTTGAGATGCAAAAAACACAACATAAAAGCAAATCAAATGGAAAAATAAAGTCTATTTTGACAAAAATATGAATAAAATATAATTTGAAAACATCCATGCCAATTAGAATCAATTTAAGAATGTTCATCATCGTGCTATGGTAACCAAATTTGCATCGAGCACACTTTTTCATCTTCAATAGCGGCTGATTTCTGCCATTTGGCATATTCATGTAGTCACCCTCAAAAATATGGTCACTTATGGTGGTTTAACCTTCAAGTTTTGAGGGCGCAGAAACAATGACGCTGTGTATTTTAGACGAAATAACGATCTTTTAATGGGCTGTGACACGAGATCGCTTTTTCTGTAGAATTATCGTTCCCGCGGTTAGATATCGGCGCCTTATTCATGTAATTGTTGGGTCTTCGACTCAAAAGGGGACACACGATAATTGGTCAATTTATCTTGTCTTTGACCTTTAGGGCGAAGACACAACGGCACAAAGACTCGATAAATCGGCCATTTATCGTGTCTAAGCCTGCCATTTACATTTTGACTTTTCTGGTGAAGACAAGACGGCACGGGCCCGTCTCCTGGTTTTTATCACTGTTATAAAAATTCTGGTATGTGATATGTTACTCAGGATTTTCATTGGTCCGATCAAATTTTTGACAAATCAAGTACCTGAGGCTGTAACAATATCTTTATAAAACAAAGGATTTTGGTGGGCTATAAAAACATGGTTGTGACACGAACCCAGAAGCAACCATCTTAATCACGTTCCACCGCTGCGTACAATACAATTTTGTTTACGTTTAATACGAAGCAATAATTGTATCTTTAATTTAATTATGTTTTCAGACATAATATTATATATTTTTGCAGTGTTGCTAAAATCGTTATCAGACCAGGGTTACGGGATCTGTGTAGGTTGTGGCTACACAAATGCGGACCATGGAAGGTGTCACTCCATCGATGTATGCCGAAAAGGATCCGTATGTATTAATATGTCCTTATTTTCAGTACTGTAAATAATCATTATTTAAAAGGAAAATGATCAAGCCTGTTTAGAACAATCCTTAAAGGAACTCAACTGAGGTCCCAGGGCATAAAAACATTAATTTGAATTTCCTTTATAAATAAGTTGGGCATTTTAAACAGAAACATATGCAAAAGATAATTAATAAATATACTCAGAAAATAATTGAAAAAGCGTAGTTTTTGGCTATTCCTAGTTTAATTTGGATAAAATGCGTTGCAACCCTTTTCAATTTTAGGTCATTTTTCACAATTGACATAATATTTCGGTAAACGGAATTTTGCATACAAGTTCTTGATTTAACCCTTCATCCAATGGAACAATTAACTTGAAATAGTATTTTCAGTCCTGTTATGTCAAAAATCTTAGTGGATTCCCTTCAACTTTAATCCTTAGCCACTTGAATAAACATCATTTCAAGACGAAAATATTGTAAAAGAATTCAGTAGTATAGCTTGAAATGTTTTCTTTTGTCAAAGCAACATAATTTGCTCTTATTTGGTGTAATAATTTGCCCTACTTTGAATATTGAATAGTCCGTTATGATTTTAGGGATTTCATTATGAAACTACAAAAATATAATCTTATCTTGACGCCATTTAGGATAGTTATTTTTTTATAAAGGGAGACCACTCTATTTATTGCAGAGATGTATACGTGGAAAGAATCGTTCCAGACAGCCAGATTATTACTGGCATAGTTGCTGTGACCCATCTGATGCCAACTGTAAATCGGTATGTTTTAAAAACAGTCTATTGTTTGATTCATGGTATGGTTTCCCTCCATGTTTCATGAGTCAGATTTCGTTTTACAACAAATTCACCTGCTCTTATTTCTTCACAATTAAACTGTTTTCAATGCTCTCGTATTATACTGATTTAAATAATATGCTATTGCAATGTCTGTCTATTTCCATACAAAATTAATGGAGGCAAGAATAATGTCTTAGTGCTTTCAGCGCTTTGATTCGAATTATTTTCAAAAAGAAATCATCACATTTTTAACTGTTTAAGAGTTGATAGGACTAAATACACAAAACATTAGATCAAGTATGATGGCAAAGAAATAGTTTTTTTTCTAGTTTGTTAGAAGTTTTTCTCGACAATGTTCGTCAGTTATTTTGATTTATGCTTTATTTGCTTATATTCGTTTGATATACATGTATAGATTATTGTGATTTATACTTTATCTACTTTATTCGTTTTGATTCACACTTTATCTGCTAAAATTCATTTTGATATTAAATGTGCTATTTTTTTATCTTTCAAAGGGAGATAATCCTATACATTTTAATGTGTTTGGAAGGGACACAACTCTACATTATGAAAAGACAGTTTGTTCAGAAAAAAAAAAACCACTATTTTGCAACGAGAGTAAGTGACGTTCTTTTACTAAATATAAAAACAAACAACATAACTTAACGGCGGAGGAGGAAATACCTCCGTTTTTTGTAGTTATTTTATAAAAATGCAGAAATGTTTGCAAACTACATTGTTACATTTTTTTTCGGAATATTGACTTTCGCCCCAAATTTATGGGAAAATGAAAACCTTTGCCAAATCTAAAAAACAAAATAAATTCCCCTTAGAACCCTCAATTTTTTTTCACAATTTAAAACTTTTAAAAAATTATCGCAAACAATTTAAATTAAAAAAATTAAAACTTAATTTATTTTAATTTAAAAATTTTTGTTTTAAAATTTAAAAAAAATTTTTTTTAAAAATATATAAAAGGGGGGAAAAACTTTTTTAAAAATACAAAGTTTTTAAAAGATTTTATCGGTTTATTTTTTTCTGGCTTTTAATAACCCTCCCCCTTTGTAAAAACCACTCATAAATAAACCCAAAAAAACAATTTTAAAAAGGGGAGCCAAATCCCAAATTTATACTTCTAAATATGGGAAGGGGGAAAAACACTCTAAAATTCGCTTTTTTCTATTTTTAAAATGGAAAATTTTAAAATTTAGGGAAACAAGGAAAAAAAAAAAAAAGCTCTGTGTTGCTAAAACACTCTAAATTGTAAAGGGGCACCACTCTACTAATACGTCATCAATGAAAAGGGGAATCACTCTACATTCACTGTTGTTCTATTTTTAGATGGGTACACTGACCAGAAGAACGCCCTGATTGCTTATCTTCAAAGTGGAGTAATGCCAACAACACAGGCGCCACAGCCAACACAGGCGGCTACCACTGCAACAGGTTAGGGACATACTTGTCGTCTTATTTGTGATGACGTCATGAAGTTATTGTGTAACTCGTTTTGTATAAACTGTATCAACGTGAATAATTTCTACAATTAGAATCTTCTACTCAAAGGTGTTGGGCTTTTGAGACATCGTTTTCAAAAAGGAAAAACATAATTTGATTCTTTATATGTTAGTCTTATATTAGTAAATTTTGCATACAATACAAAATAACATGTGAATAATTCTATGATAATTACAGTAACAAAGGTCGACGGTGGTTGGTCGATGTGGAGCGCGTGGTCAGCATGTGATAAGTCATGTGACTTAGGGTTAAGATATAGGACGAAAGCATGCACTTCACCAATACCACAAAATGGCGGCGCATATTGCCCTGGCGACGATAAAGAATCAGAATTTTGCAACGCAATACCATGCTAATAATGTCATTAGAATGTTTTTATTTATTTATAATGTACCAATTGTGTAAGTGTTTTTTTAAAAAATTTTTATAATTTTTAAACTGTTTTTGTACTATTTCCAAAAATTTTTTGCCCTTTTTATGCTCCAAATTTTTTTTTTAAAAACCCAAAAATCTTTTTTTATTTTGGGGACACTTTTTGTGGTTCCAAAAAAATTTTCTCAAAAGGTCAAGGGACCCGAAAAACTTTTTCTTTTTCTTTTTTTGATAAATTTTGGGAAAGTAAAGAGAATTTTGTATTTTGTATCAAAATCAAAATTTTACCTTTTCACATTCAGGCCCCTGGTTTTTTTCGGGGTTTAAAAAGTTATAAGCATCTAACATGCCTTTTAAAAATTTTTAAAAATTAGTCCCCCCCTGGGTTCCCCCCTTTTAAAAAGAATAGTCTGAAAGGGGGCTCTCGCTACAAGAAAAAATTTTTGGTTTTTTAAATGTAATTTGTTATACCAAATTATGTAAAGGTTTAAAAAAAAAGGGGGAAAAAATTTAAATTTTAGGAGCAAAAAATGAAAATTCTAACAACATTATGTTCTTTAGAAATCTTTAACTTGTGAAAAAAAAAATCAGAAAGCCATGATCTGTTTAAGAGCATTTTTTAGACTTAGGATGTCCCATGAAAGGCCACCCTGAATACATTAAGATTTAAGTGTTTGTTGTTGACAGTAACTCTCCAAAAATACAATTCTCACGTTTAAAAATTAATCTTCCATTCTTAAGCAATACTTTTTTGTTGGATTTCACGTTGCACCAACACAGGTCATGGAGATTTGCATACTTAAATTTCCATGCATTATTTCACAAATGAGCGCCTGAGTAGAACCACCGACGTTCGTAAGCTAGCTGAATAGCTTCCTCACGTGACAGAATCTGAAGTCCTTGGCTGGACTAGAACTCACAGCGATTTTAGCAACATATATTTTACATAAATCTTAATAGTAACAAACAAACAAAATCAAACTCGAACAGATACACGGACATTTATTTTATTTAGAAGCCAAGAAAACAGATCATCAAAGCATGAAACTTTAATGAAACATTATGCCTCAGAAACGTTTTTTTCTATCATTTCTCAAAAAACTTTTTTTTTCCTTTTTTAAAGGGGGGGTTTTTAAAAAAATTACTAATTGGCCAATTTCCTGAACCTCTAATTGCTTCTGGTTTTCACAAAATATGTGATTTAAAATATTTTTTAAATTTAAGTCAAAAGGGCGTTTTTTTTTCAAAAAGGTACTTTTTTTTTACAACATTTCATATTCAGGGGTAAATTTTTTTTAAAGATAACATTTTAACATCTCTAAAACTTTACTAGAGGGTGGGTTAAAAATATGTTTCCTTTTTTAAAAGGGAAAAGAAAATTTAAAATTTATTTCTGAGGCATAAAGTGCAAAATCTCAAACATTTTTCTACCTATTTCCCTCATTTGATTATTTATTCAAAAATTTAAAAAATGTTTGAGTAAGTAGTAAGAAACCCTACAGAAAAATTAAAAGCAGGACCCTTCCAAATTTAAATCTTTAGACATTTTAAAAGTTTTTTCAGATCGCATTGAATCGTTTGAGGACGCCCCCTCCCCCCCCCCCAAAAAAAATGACACTCTTGAGACTCAATAGAAAATTCATGTTAGAGATCGCATACAAAATGATACTATTCATGCACAAAAGATAATTCATGTTCAAGATCGCATACAAAATTATACTATTCATGCACAAAAGAAAATACATGTTCAAGATCGCATACAAAATGATACTATTCATGCACAAAAGATAATACATGTTCAAGATCGCATACAAAAATTAAACTATTCATACACAAAATAAAATACATGTTCAAAATCGCATACAAAATTATACTATTGATGCACAAAATAAAATACATGTTCAAGATCGCATACAGAATTATACTATTGATGCACAAAATAAAATACATGTTCAAGATCGCATACAAAATGATACTATTCATGCATAAAACATGATACATGTTTAAGATCGCATTCAAAATGGTACTTTTCATGCATAAAAGAAAATACACGTTTAAGATCGCATACAAAATGATACTATTCATGCACAAAAGAAAATACAAAAAGTGAAAACGTATGATTAAAACGCATACAACTTTGCAGACTCTATCCCCAATACAAATACATGTTTAAGATGTCATGCAAAATATCACACTTGGGACCTAACAACCTAGCGTTTTCATCGCTTATAATAAGTAAATGTTTATACGAATGTATATTTCAGTTCGCATAGAAAATTGAGTTATTTAGATCTAATACAAATCATGAATCAGATTGCCCTAGTTTTGTCACGTAAAAACCCGTTCTCTTCCGATCAAATGGCAATGCATCTTTCAGGTAACATACAAAACGACGTTGTTTATACTCGATACAAATGCATGTTTTAGGTCGCATACAAAGTCACGTTCTTTATGCTCGATACAAATGCATGTTTCAGGTCGCATACAAAGTGACGTTCTTAATACTCGATATAAATGTATGTTTCAGGTCGCATACAAAGTGACGTTCTTTATACTCGATACATACATGTTTCAGGTCGCATACAAAACGACGTTCTTTACATTTGATACAAATGCATGTTTCCGATCATAAATCATATGTCATAGTTTTATCCACTTATCCATCGCATTGTTTTTAGGTTGAAATACAGATTTAGCGCTACTCGGATCTGAGGGATCTACATATAAAATATCACGTCCCAAACCCAGAATCATCTTTATATTGTATACGAAATAGCTCCACATAGCTCAAAACATAAGGAATAAAAAAATAATGATAATAATAATAATAAAACGACAACAGCAACAACAACAACTTTTTAAATACAGATAACATTTTCTGTTTTCTCAAATGTGTATTTAAAAGCTAAAAAGCTATACTGGGATCCTTCAGATTACCGGACAAAATATGATGTTTTTTATCTGTAGCTTTTATTAAAAATAATAAAAAAGAATGAAATCTTACCCAAATAATTTTGGGTTCTTAATACACGTAAACATTACTTTATCAAACATGAATTTTAAACATTTGACCGTAGAAAAGTGTCTTTTAAGTAGGGCATTGTGAGAGGAAAAAAATCATGTAGACAACTCAATTTACCGGACATTGTGTTTCAAAAATTTTTGAAGTCTGAATTGAAATAAATCGTTAAATAATCAGCAAGGAAACTACGACTATAGAATGGCAAGGTTAAGGTTTTGGAAAAACCCAGCGTGTCACTAAAATAGGCAGCCATGCTTGCTACGAAGAGGTCAATATAGGGGTGTAATTGAAATCAACACTATTAACTTAATTAACGTATTGATTCTACATAATCCTTAAACATATGACACATTTTGATATTCAAATGAAATTCTGTTCTTTGTCATACAGTTTGGTCATCATGTGGCATGCATTTCTTTGTAAAAGACAACAACGAGATACTGTTTGGACTAAATTTCAAATTACTTTTTATCATAAAAAATAGCAGAACAGATTATTCCCCCGCATGACCAGGTCATGAAATAACTAGTAAACAAAAGGGCATGTTAGTAGATAAAGAACTGAATCAACAATATTTACCTGAGGGTGGTTTTGTTGTTATTTACTTTAAAATAGAAAGTAAGTTTACGATTCAGACTGTATGATTTTTTAATCGAAGCAAAAAATAAAGCACTATTCGACAGGAATATATTTTGTCCGGTAAATATATAGGATCCAAGTATCTAATACTATTCTTTAAACTAATACTAGTATTCTTAAATAAAATTTATCGACAGTAAACTTATATTGCACATAAACAGAAGTTTCGTAACAACTATTATTCTGCAATTTTAAGAAGGTTTGTATCCTTAAAACAACGATTCATGCTCGTGGCATTGACTTCTAATGCAATTTACAGCCATATTAATTTCATACACGATTTTGGTTGCATTGTTGTTTTTTTTAAATCAAAGATTTTTGTTGCAATATATACGAGGGTTTTTCAAAAATTCGTTTCTTAATATCTCTTGAACATTAACGTGTATTGTAATGGAATTTTATCAGCATACATTGTATAATTACATCAACACATTTTGAAAGGAACCGTTAATTGCGACAATAAAAAATGATTTTATATTGCTTTTAAATAAGCACATACTGGGCACAGTAGAAAAGCACAGTAGGTCATCATATATTTTTGCTAAAAGCTAATAATTAATATAGAAAACCCGCTAAACATCGCATGTTTCTTCTATGATGTTATTCAAGTAATCTTTAAAATTTTGACGTCATTTCCATTATTTTTTGTTGAAATCGCTAGAAACGCCGAAATTGTTTACAACGGGAAAATGAAGAACACGCAGAAATTACAAAATTGCGCGATCATAAAATTTTGTTGTAATTTGGGAATGACAAATACAAAAACATTTGAAAATAATAAGCAGTCGAACAGAAAAAATTTAATTTCACGATCATTTGTGTGGCATAAAAAATTAAGTGATGGACATTACTTTGGAATGCAGTAACGGTCATTGACTGCGTAACGTTGAAGCATTAGTGGTATACGTTATTTAGGAAATAGATATCAATTCTGAGTGCATTGTTGTAGAATAGTTCAAATGCGTAGTAATATGATCACGAAGGCCGAAGTGATTAATTACAAAGCATTTGGACGAAAAACATGCATTATTATACAATAATGCACGAAGAATTAATATCTATTTCCATTCTAACACGTCAAGAAAAAATATAATTATAATTATAAAGTTGGACTTTATGTTTGGTGGTTAAATTTGTTTTCGACTCAGAGTTTCCAATGAAACGTTCTTTAAAGGCCGTTCCAGTGGGTTGAAAAAAACTGTCGTTAAATCTACCGTGTGTAGAAACATTTTGAGAACAACGAATTTTGAAAACGTTGATAAAACTTTGTTTGCTTATTTTATTTCAGTCTATAATTTTCCAAGCGAAAGACAAAATTATTTAAAGTGAAATATATGTAAAACTTGACTCGTTTGCGACATTAAAATAGCGTAC